AAAAAAAAGAAATCCTGAAGAATGGGAAGGAAAGAAAAAAATGGGAAGACAAGGAAGACAAATGACCTACCAGAAATGCTTCCAAAAAGGTCACAATTCCAGATCGTGTAAAGGCCAACCGCCGAATGTAAGTAACATGCAAGCTTTATTTCTGTGGATATATTGGTGCACTAAGTTAATTATACGTTGGTTACCATTTTTAGGTGCCCCAAATGGAGAATGAACCATCTGTGGAGCAACCACCCCCTGTTGAGGACAACCACCCCCTGTTGAGGACAACCAGCCACCTCATGGAGAAGACAACCTGCCACGCATTACTGAGGAAGAACTAGTGAACATGACCCAAGAAGATCCTCCAATGAGTCAAGTAGTCAGCCCAACTCCACCAGTTCAACAAGCCACAACTCCCACTACAAGAAAGAAAGAGAGAGTTAGAAGCGCTGATCAGCTAGTAATGGGTTTAACAACTCAGTTTTTTTTTTTTTGTTTAATTTAATTTTTTACCCTAAAATAATGCTAACTTTGTGGTTCATGTTTGTAGAAGAAGGCAGAAAAGAGAGCAAGGAAACATACCCCAACCCCAACTCAGCAAGAGGTAAATAACAATTTAAGTTTGTTTTTATTAATGGATAAAAGTCTCACAATATTTCTATGCACATTGACTGGTGCTGCATCTAATATTCAGGATTCGCCATCTGCGCCTCCATCTGAAACCCATTCACAATCCACAAAAATACAAAAAGTCAAGCATGCGTATCCAAAAGGGAAGGGGAAGCAACAATTTGAAGGTTTTGGAACATATGTGAATCCAAATACAGGTTTTTCCAAATTAAATGTATGTGGATTAGAGTAGGATTATATGTTCTTCTTATTTCCATGCAAAATTAATTTAGTGTATTATGCTTGCTTAATGTAATTAATGTTTATTATAGCCTGGACATAGAAGTGAAAGAATTTTGTCATTTGGATATGCTAAAAAGAGGGCTACGGGAGTTGGAGATAGAGGAATCCCCGCTGTAACTCTAACGCCTGCACCAACAACACCTGCACCAACAGCACCTGCACCAATAGCACTTACAGTACCTGCACCAATGGCACCTCCATCTATAACAGCAACAACTCCCTCAGGAAGCAGTAGGCGCAGTAGGCAATTTGTTACTGCCACTAACTTGCAAGCACAATTATGGGAAAAAAGAAGGCAAAAGGAAGGGCAGAAGGAAGAAGAAGCACTTGGTCGTTGGGCAGAGTTATTGACTAAAATTCACATAGATAAACAATCAAACGTTTAGACTGTGAATTTTTTTTTATTTGAATAACTAGACTGTGAAGTTATTATGTGTTGTTTGCATGGATGCTTCTTTTTTGGACAGATTAGGGTGTGTATTGCCTGGATGATTGTTTTTGGACAGCCACCCCTGTTGAGTGTAAAGCTTTTTGTT